GCTAAAATACGAATTTCATCAACAGCTCCAAAAAACTCTTTTGGAAAAGCTTAAAACTGTAGCTCGGTCAGTTTCTTCTGTTCGTAAATCCGTTGAAACAGGACTCACCTTTTGGACAAACATTTAATACCCCTAAAGGATTCGAAATGTTGATGGACGATTAAGGAGTGCAAATGTATTATGAAGTCACTTGAGAAATAATACAAGGGTTGTAAGCTCGTAAAAACTAAACTATTCAGCCTTTTTTTAATAGCAGCATCACTTTTTTTCTTAGATAAACTAAAAAATTAGTTGAAAGGAAGAAAGAAACATGTGGCTGCCTTTTAGTCTCTGTTTCATATACATTTGTACAAGCAAAAGGAAGACATTAGAGAAACATAAAAAGTCTTTTTTTGACAGGTCTTAACGAAATAACATTTCAAGTTTGCAAAAATTTCCAAAACAGCCTGAATCTCCTACAAATGGAAAGGTTTTCACTAATCAAATTAAACATTTATTCTTGTGAAGAAAATACTGGATGAAAGTTTTTCTCTACATGTGGAACCAAAACAAAATAACTAGAGTTGCAATTCTGACAGTGAAATGAAACTGCTGAGGCCAACAATGTCATAAAATTCATCAACTCCACATATTTTTTGTCCCTTTAGAGATGGAAGTATATTAATAGCCATACTAATACCTGACGAAACTTCATAGCACCAGGTGTAGATCCTCGCATCGAAGGGGAATGAGACATTTGTTGATTACACTGCCTTAATGCATTCAAGCGTTGTATTTGAACAGCTTGTGCTTGACTTTGTTGTTGTACCTGTGCTTACTGTTGTGCCACTTGCATTTCTTGATTTTACGCTTGAGCTTGTTGAGTTTGAAATGCATGCTGCTGTTGTTGCTGTTGCTGCTGCTGAGAAAAATGAACACATTTATGGATATGGTTATAAAAATCCTCAGCGCTATTCAGTTTTGTCACTTATCAATATGATATATTATTAAGTACATTTACATTCTCAACTTCTGATTAGTCGAGCAGACCATAACATTAGAAATCAACCTGAATTGCTTGCAAATGAGCATTCTGTGCCGCTTGAGCAACAACCAGTTGTTCAAATTGACGTTGTAAGTGCTGCTGTTGCTGTTGCTGGGTTAACTGTGCTTGGCTCCGAGCCTACGAATAAAGTCAAAAACAATTTGCATAAGTATATCAAAGCATTATGAGACTCCATAATTACTAAAATTATTTTTGTACTCAAGGAGAACGACACATTTTAGTCAAGTTTTCAAGTCAATCTCACATTGTTTGGAATATACCTCCGTAACTTGCTACTCACAAACCCAGATCATTATGAAAAAAGTGATGCATCCAGCAAATTTCTCGACTGATCATATAAACTGAGCAGCTTATTTAACAATCGACCACTTGATTCAGTTTTTAAATTACTTATTGATAAAATTGAGTATACGCTTGATTTGTTATGCCCATAAAATGCTGCCGCCAGATTCATAATATTATTTAGCATTCTGTTGAGCATTTAGTGTCGTAAGAGGTGGATTACCAGTAGGAAATATTGCCCTTAAACTTTTATCACATTCACCGAAATGGATAATTAGCGTAAGATGCCATATGATGCTAAAATTAATTTAAATCAAGCAAGCCAATAAAATCTATAATACTTGATTAACAAGGTAATCAAAAACTATAAACATAATAACAGCCGCAAACATAACAGAATATGATGCTAAAATTAAATTAAACAATTCAATACGATGGAAGTCAATTAATACGACAAAGGGAAACCATAAAAACAATAGAAGGGTAGAAGGCATTGCTACGACAACCAAAAACCATATCATAAACACAACAGAAGCGTCACTGTAAAATGTAAAATGAATCGTAGTATGAATGATTAAAGAAAATATCATTGTAGTTCAAAGAGTGCTGGCATACTGAACATAACTGAGCATAATTGAACATGGAAACGAAGTCCGTAAAGCTAATAAATTATCCTAATCACCAACAATAAACAACAAACAAATACCAAACAATCACAACCATACACAAACAACAACGATGCGTCATCTAATTGCGGCAGGCTTGAGTTCAATTTGCTATAGCTGGCAAGCAAACTTCATGCTTTTCTGATATCTCTAATACTAAACTTAAATTTCGTTACGTATACCACTTGGTGACGAAGTTAATTTTTCACGATATGATAAACTTATTGTGTTTGTATAATGTTAGATGAATAAGATAAAGTGGTTTACTTAATTTACATTACTTTCGATGAATAATTTTTAATAAAGAAGAAAGAAAATCTGCCAAATCTTTTTAATTATTTTTGTTTGTTTAAAAAACGAATGTTTGAAAAAGATTAGAATAAACTGTAAAACTCCCCAGCGTTTATTATGAACCAATTTCTGCTGAATTAATATTAATTCGAATCTTTTGGTTTTACTTTCCTTTTTCTTTTTTTTTGCTTCTACTGCAAAATATTATTTAAAAAAAAAAAATAGTGTTTAATTTTTTTTTCTGAATGATTGAAAATTTTCAGGTTAGAAGAAAATCAATTATATCAGGCTTTTTTTCTCCCGAAATCATTAAAATTTCTGTCTTATCTCGTTACTAAATGGTGATAAAAGCATATTAAAGTTAACACTGTACGATAAAGCGAAAAAAAAATAGCAATTGACCGTTTCAAAAGTTTTTTGCAATATGCTAAAGAAAAAAGGGAAGAAAAACTTCCAGAATAAATATTGCATAATATTAAATGATTGTATTAAAGCAAAGTAACTGATAAATTTGTGTGCAGATTTGGACGTTATTTTAACTCGAACAATTAGTTCGAAAAATTAATTAGCATAAAAGTCTCGTCTTAGCTTCAATATGATCTAAGATATTTTATAGTAAAAAAGAAGGAATGGTAACATAAATATTTAAAATTTATAATGATAAAATTTAAAGAGAAAAAAAAACGGAAAGAAAACCACTTATATATGAGATTCATTGTTTTTCTTTTTTGTTAAAATAAAAATATTTAAATTCGTTTCTTTTTTTTTGCTCCATTAACATTCATTTATCCGTATATTATTTGATATTAGACATTCCACATATCAGAAGGTCGTACAGAAGGCTAAAAAATTAGAAGTTCGATAATTTATTCCATTCTTTTACATCGTAGTATTTATCACAACACAAACTTAAATTTTATTAATTTAATTGAAAAAAAAAAAGTCGAAATCAAATAAGCTTATAAGAATGATTCAGAATGATGGATACCGTATGAGAGATTCGGTAAAATATGACTGAAAAATGCGAAGGGATCATTAAACAAACATTTTTCACACCGAAAAAACAAAAATGAATGTTAACTGATCATCGTTAGCATCAACTAACTTACACTTTTTGCAGTAATTTGATCTCTCCAACGAAATCTCACGTTTTTCTTTCTTTTCACTTTATGCAATAAATTTGAAAAGATCAATTCTAATTTGTAACCGTTCCTATCGAAAGTTGTTACATATTATTATAATTATTATTGATTATCATTACATATTGTTACTACTATTACTATTATTACAGGGATAATTTTCAATGTATAATATTATATTATGACCTAATATTATAAATGAACCACCACAACAACAACAACAGCGAACAGTGAAATGATATTCAGTATTTCGTTATTTTTAGATTATGAAATTCCCTTTGCATACCGATCAGTGATAAGCTTGCAAATGTAATTTAAAATTTTCAACTCCCTTTTCTTTTTAAGCGAAAGCACTTGAAGAAATTGATGTAGATTGTAATCCTATGTTTTGATAAATGTCATGTTTCATAACTTACAATGTAATTTAAAAAATTTTAAATCTCATTTTTATTCCAACAAAAGAAAAGGATGGAATTTTGGATTTTAAATTTATATCAATTAGAATAGATCAAATTTCATGCATTCTTGTTTAATATCTCTAAATTCTTTAATCTCAATTACTTCCCGAAAAACATGCAAATGCAGACAAAATGCCTGCAAATGTAAATTTCTCAAAAAATTAATGAAACAGCAAAAATTAATGAAACAGTCATTTGTCATTTGTCAAGTGGGATAAATGTTATTCTATTCCAAAAAATTAATCCAAACAAAATTTCAGAAGAGCGAAATCAAATTTTTCAGAAGAAATTAATTTTAAGAATTCGGCAAACATTTTACACACAGTCTTTCTGTACTTTTTGAAAAAAGATGCAGATCAATAAACATTAATTAAATTTAATAGAAAATTTTATGCAAATTATGGTTTATTGTCCTTCAAAAGTCCAACACAGAGTAAACAAAAAAGAAGCAATATTGCAAACAGAATTATCATCGAGTGTAGGGCAACACTGATAAATGCAGTCCAGTAAACGAAATTGTCACAGTGCTAAGTTTGGAAATAAATGTTTATGTTTGTCCCGGACCATGTATCCAAATACAACCTGAAAAACAATGAATTCTATAAGTGGATTTTAAATTTTAAGTCATAAAATTAAATAGTTTTTATATGATAAGCAATAATTTCACTCACTAGATCGCATTTATCTATTGTATCTTACAATAACATGAAATTCTTTCAACTTTCAGATTATAATTTGAAAAGCTGTTTATTATAAATTTGATGTTCAAAGCATTTCAAATACATAATAGTGGACTTTGTACATAGCAAAACAACACTTTTTTTGCATAATTTTCAGATATTAAAAAAAAATACTATGAGATAAATTTAAGCTTTTGTGAAAGATTTCAGTTAATTTTAGTAAGTCACAAATAATGTCTTAATACCTAGAATTTTCTCATTTTCTCAATTCTAGTGAGCGAAATTATCACAGTGATATGGTCGGAAATAGATGTTTATGTTTTATTCCGGACCGTATATTCAAATATAATCTAATAACTTTGTTTCATATTAATTTTGTATTGAGGTTTGTTAAAAAGGAAAAAAGAAAAACACAGCGACACAAAAAAAGAAAATTTTTATTAATTTGCAGCAACCTTAAAATTACCAGAAAATAGCCAAACAAGTATAGCTACGATCATTATTCCTTCAAGCGCTTTGCATGTCAAGTCAACGCCTAACGTATCAGCACGTGGACGTGGCCAAAAAGCATAGATTCGCAACAAACTCCAAAGAATATACAAACAACCCATCACAATTAAAAACATCGGGATCATTGAGCGTGACGGACAAAATGGTATATTAATAGTACCTGCAATAAATAATAGTAAATCAGGCGATAAGAATTTTAATTTTTAGTACCAAACAAAACTTTAAACCTTTCTTTTATCAATCAAGGAATTTTATTATTTTCCTCACTATTTCTTATTTTTATCGGACTAGCATTATTATTTATTATAATAATAATAATTACTATTATTATCTTATTATTATTATTAATATTATTATTACTATTATTACTATTATTATTATTGTTATTATTATTATTATTATTATTATTATTATTATTATTATTATTATTATTATTATTATTATTATTATTATTATTATTATTATTATTATTATTATTATTATTATTATTATTATTGTCATTATCTGATTATCAAAGCTTGTTATGAAAAGTACTGCTAGCTGATTTCATGACACTAACCAACTATTACATGCATAAGGCCCCATAATGTTAACGAAAACATCAATCCAATCCAGATATCTGAAATTTTATTGCATAAATTGGAGTGTAAATTTCGAAAATACTTTTAGAATTTTGATTTAAATGAACCATACTTAAATCTTTTTCATCGTTATGCAATATTTCTTCATTGCTGCATTTTGCAGTTAACGTATTTAAAGAAAAGCGAAGCAAATGATAGCTACTAAGGAAATATCTAAACTAACATGCTGGTAAGCATGAGCTAAGATATTGTTCAAAGTTGCTTGCAAATTCCCTAGCATTATCGGAAATCTTGTAAATATCAATAAAACTTTGAAATGTGGGATCCTTCCGATGTGACATTTCTAATTGATCGATTGAAGCTGAAAGTTTAAGTTGAACCTAATATGAGCACATCAATAATCGTCTCTAATAATAGTTTCTTTTTATTTAATTCATTCCTCTTTGAATTACTAATAATCATGAAAATGTGACATTCAATTTGAAATGAACAATTTTCAGTAGTTCTACTTTTGGTATCATTTTTTTCAAATGTTATTTTTCTATCATTGACAAATTAAATTACGTCAATCTTTAATTTTCTTCTTCAAAAACACAGAAGTGTATTATGATTTGTTTATGGAGTGTTAACAAGCTACAAAGAGCACATAAGACCAGATTTTTAATTTTTTTCTTTAATAAAAGAAAAATTCATCTTGTTTGAGAGTGATCTGGTAGATGGTTACCACGTTGTTGCTGGTCTTTTTGTTGTTTACTGATAAAAATCGCTACACTCTGTAGCAATGGCCTATGCTCCATCGTCGCTAATTTCTAATCGATGCCTGAAATTGAAGATTGTTAAATCTCCTATTTCTCAACTAAAATTACTGCTGTTGCAATTATCGGTCAATCAAATTGTTCCGACTCGCGTTTGGCCTTAACCACTATAAGAGTACTTTGCTGTCATCAGTTATCACTTTTTTCTTTTATCTAGCAATTAAGCTTATCAAGGCTGAAGTTGAACTGGAAGCTTATAAAGATTAGCATGTTAACTACTGCAATATCATTTGGAAATTACTTATTAATTGCTTATAGCCGTAACAGAGTGTGTATAGATCAGTTAAAATTTTTGACTTGAAAAAATTTAATTTAATTAGTTATAACATACATATAGCTAACTTGACCAATTGACAGTGATTGATAACCATGTCCAAACTGTTCGTCACTTTTCTGAGATAATTGTTTAGGATATAAATCCATTTCTCTTCAAGTTTCCATCCTTTTTTCTTTTTCTCTCGTTTTTTTTTTTTTTTTGTTTTTTGTTTTATAAGCAAACTGCTTTTTAATTATCTGCAAAATTCGGTTAATTTTAATTAGTTTTATTTCTTATGCCATTTGAGAGTAAAAATGAACAAATATGAGAAACCTTGAATAAATCCTTTGATGACGAAAATTAATTTTGAAAATTTCAAAATTTCATAGCGATAAAGTTACAATAATGCTCTCTGTCATGCAGCCACCTACATTTATGAATATATTATTTGCACTAATTAATCAATATCTATCTTGCTATCATTATTTTGATTTTCCAAATTTAAATATTTCAATCAAAAATTCATAATATACTTTCTAAATTAAATGATGCAATACTTTTTTCTACTTTTGCATTTTCGCTTAATTTCTTATATGAGTATGTGCGTCTGTACGCCATTTTAATTATAATCAAATTTCAATTGTACAAATTGTCAAAGACCATTACTGTTGACAACAAGTTAAAATAGATAAAGCGATAATGTCACAGATTTAATTTAGAAGTAAATAAGCATTCACAAAGACGAACATATAAATATATAAAAAATATTTATGAATAAGTAAATTGTCAAAAAAATAAAAAGAGAAAGAAAAAATAAATGAATACATAAATAAAGTTACCAGCATTGTCACACTGTTTATATTGACATATTTATTCTAATTTTTAAAAATATAATAAAATTTATTAATTAAAAAAAAATGCATTTTATTAAAAACATAATATTAAAAGTTGGCAAGCATTTACAAAGGAAAAAAAAAACGAATAAAAAGATGAGATTTGGAATTATTTATGTCTTAAACTAATTTCACTGATTTTTACACCCACTACTTTGTATTTTTTAACTGATCAAATATTGATTGATGGAAACGATCAAACAATCAGTCTGGTTGAGAATTATTTTGTTTGTCTGAGAGATGAAAAGCTTGTTTGCAGCATAATTACAAACAGTAAATAAGAATTCATAAATAATATTTAGAAAATAAAAACATATACATTTAATTAAATATTGGGAAATAATTATTAAAAAAGGTAAATGAATAAGTAGCATACAAATTTGTACTGTATATCAAAGTAATCAGAGATGTAAGGTAAACATTAATGAAATATTTGAAGAAGTGTATGATAAACTTTTGAATGTTATAATAAGCTGCATATAAAAAGAAGTTTCAAAAAAAAACTCTGAATTAACACATCGAAATTTAAATGTCACCTTGATGAATAAAACAATTCAAAATTAGTTACTGATTAGAAAAAAGGAGGGCAAAATTAGGTAATTAGTAGGGTATAGCTAATTTCCCATTGATTGAAAGAATATATTGACTATATGTTTATACAATACTTAACAAGTAATGAGTACTGCAAATACAATAAATTTAAACATAAATAATCAGAAAAAGTAAATTTTTTGATTTGCTATTTTCGGAAAATAATTTCGTTCAATTCTTTAGTTTCTGTGAAAAAAACTTTCATTTTCGAAATAACTCAATGCTTGCATGAACTTATTAATCTAATTGCTTTTGCATGTATTAAAAAAAGATTGGAAAGTGTTTTGAGCAAAATCAAAAAAAAAAAAGCAAATTTGTAATCTTCAATAAGAATTGGGAATAAATTTGAAAACAAAATTATTCCTCAAATGAAAAGATGATTTCAGAATTTTAATTCCAATTGTCAGTGCTTTTCACACTGCAGAATTAATTCTTGAAATGAATGAGAATTCATTGGAAATTAAAAATTAATAAAGTTGGAAACTTGAAAATAAATAATTAAAAGCATAAAGTGAGTGTGCAAAACTGTTATTAATTCACTTTTTAAAATCCATCAAAATGTATGATTCACAATGATGACAATTGCATTTCGCAATTGTTAGTAACATGAGCGCATGAAGTTAACTGGCGTTTGAAGGCAAGGTAAACAGCTAAAAATAAAAGTGTTGATAATAGATATCACAGGTGATAATAACAGTCAAGGAAAAAGAAGGTCTTGATATTTTTTGTTATTTATTTATTTCTTTAATTTATTAATTAATTAATCAACTTGCTTATTTATTTATTATTATTAGTACTAATTTTTACAATTTGTAAACCATTTCGTCATATCTAAATTTCAGTTATATTGATATTTTATGAGTGTTAATTAATAATTAATAAATATAATTTAACAGGTATGAAATTAAAATTATGCAGGATTTTTATTAACTTTACAAAATATAAACATTAAGTGGAAAAAGTGTAATTACACATAATAATAGATAAGTCAGATTTTTTCATTATCGGTAATCAAAAGTTAATGTAATTAAAAATGATTCCTTCACACAACAACAAATCGAGCAGTGTTTACATAGCAAACGTAGTTGTGATAAGATAGCTTAGTTTGACAAATGTCATTGGTGGTTGGTAGTAGCAATAATAGTAATAGTAATAGCAGTTGTAGCAATATGTTTATGAAATTTGTCCATTGTCATCAATAATTTAGTTTGGCTTCTTCTTAATCAAGTATTGACACTTGTGATAATTGCTATTGTTTAAAATTTAGTTGATGGAATTTTTTAACTCTTAGTATATAGAAAAGAAATTTACAACAGTATGCATACATGCATGTGTTTTGATTAATAATGATTCAATCAATGATCCATGCATGCAGGCTGCAGTGACTCCTTGCTACTTATGAGCAAAGTAACCTCTGATACTGTCATGCAGCATGCAGATTCCACATCCGCTTCAACAGGTGAACAATCCACGATGTCTTATATCTACCACATTTGCTTTAGTAGCTGTGTTATTTGTAGAAAGAGTTCAAAAAAGTTAAATATTTTTGAGGTTACTCCAAATGAGATTTAAAGTACCGCAAATTCGCTCATTTTCAAAGTCACATAAGTTTTTCCCTATCTAGGTGAAACGCTGTTTCACCTAGATAGGGCTGTTTTTTTTTTTACAAAATTTTCTAATTACTACTTGCACAAAGAAATTGTTGATATCTCATCTCACTCCATCATTTTATTTAAAACTAATTAACTGAAATAGAAATAAAATATTACAACGATAGTGAAAAGATCAACAATAATATACTTATATGAATAAATTAAATCATAATAAGAAAGATTTTAATCTTAAGAAAAAATAACGCTAATTTTATAGGACAGAAGAAAAAAATCTGTTGAGAGAAATAAAAAAGAAATGTAAATATAAGCGTTAAATGAATCTGAAACACTTACTATTAGTATTCATGCCATTTACTAATTGGAAATGACATTACGAATTGTTGCAATAAATTCTAAAATTTGTTTATAATATATTTCTTCAAGCAAATGTATGTGAGCAATTCGACTAAAAAAGTCAAATGTAGAAAAAAAATGAAACAAAAAAAAAGAATAAAAAAAAACACTTCTGTGAAATAATTCAAAATAATGAAAAACAAACGATTTTATCGCTTTGTTTATTTGTTGTAGTTATTGAACAAATAATTGATTGAAAAAACATAAAATATAAAAAACAAAATCAGATAACTATTCGGCAAATTCATTCATAAAATTCGACAACTGAAATACTCGAATCTGTGAAATATTTTAATTGATATTAAAAGTTAGTTATTTCATTCAATGAAAGAATGTAAATTTTAAATCATGTAAATTATTATTTATTATTATTATTAACTATTCTCATCAGATTACAAATTAACTTGAACTGGTTGCAGCAGGTATATTTACTGAATTCCTTATCACATTTCATTTCCAAAAAAAAAACAAGCAAAAAATGAAATGTTAACGGGAATTTGAGAGCAATAATTAACTTAACGGTGGCTTTCTGAATGAACTTCATTCAATTATTTATTATTCAAAAGTTATCAGTAAATTATCTATGAGATGAAATGGGACATCACACATCATTTTAATAAAAATTTTGACCGAGAAAGATTAGTTTTAAAAAAAAAATGGCAGAAATATCGCTGCTCATTTTTATACTTTCTTGCAATCCAAAAATGATGATAATATTCGCTTTCCAGTTTATAAATTTTTTAATTCCAGTTTATTTGTGATAATTCATAACATTCATAATTTTTTTTTTACTTACATTGCTATAGAGAAATTATCACTATCATTTATCATAATATCAAATAATGAGTGAATAATCATTTTAACAAATATTTCGTAGAAAATATTTGAGCGATAGCATAATTTGAACAATTCCACTGCGTCAGTATTTTTTAATGTTATAATGCATTGCAATCGGCATTTCTTTTTAAGCTTATATTTTGATGAATTTTTTAAAATAATATTTGAAATGATGGATTTGAGTTTGAATGATCTGAATAAGTTGTACAGCACAAAACACAAAACCATTATTGGTTATGAATTTGTGGGCCATCGAAATTTGAATGACATAAAGTGTGATTCATCCAGCTGTTAAGTAATATAGGGAGAGAAATAAAAATGATAACAGAGTGGAATTAAGGTTATATTGGTTCCATTTTAACATTCACTGAATTTATAGCTTGAAAGAAAAGCAAAGCT